TTTGGCTCAGGGGATAGAGCATCGGCCCATGGACTGAAGGGTCCTGGGTTTGATTCTGGTCAAGAGCATGTACCTTGGTTGCAGGCTCAATCCCCAGTAGGGGCCATGCAGGAGGCAGCTGATCGATGTTTCTCTCTCATCAATGTTTCTAACTCTCTATCCCTCTCCCTTCCTCTCTGTAAAATCAATAAAATATATTTTTTTAAAAGAAAGAAAGAAAAAGAACACAGGCTTGGGAATCAAATAAACCTGGATTTAAATTCTGACTCTTTCAGTTTTTAGCTCTGTGACTCAATCTCTCTGAGCTTTAGTTTCTTCATCTATAAAACAGGAATATAAGAATAACAATGTTTCATTGGAGTTTCTATAAGAAACAAAGTAATTCAGATACTGTACCAAGCAACTGAAACATAGTAGGTATTGCAATTGCTATTGTTTTATTACTTTAGAGTATATAAAAACATAGAGTATTTATAAATTTTCAAATGCATGGCTCACAAAATAATAGATTAAAAGGCTAAAAGGTACTTCCACAGCACTTGAATGATGACCCGCTCCAACCTTGATATTTCTTAAATTCTTAACTAGAAATCCACTATCAAGAAGAAGCTCATGAGTTAGGACTGAGAAAAGTGTTCCAAACACATCAGTTCTAGAATACACTGTATTCCAAGTATGAAATATCTGGGGATTTTATCACGATAAACTACAAAGCATATTTAATCTGGTATAAACTGAACAGTTTATGTAATGTGGATTATAGATACATGGTACAGGCTACCATTCCTAACATTTATGCCATAAACTATAATGCAGATGCTACAATGTGACTCAAATGTACACTTCATGGTACTGCAAAAACCCTGCCAGCATCTGGTTTAGATTTAAAGCAGTACTTTGAGGAGCCAGAAGATGGCACTAATTTCTAAGAATTATGAATCTAAAAAGAAGGTGCTACTTTGAATTCTGATCATTTCCCATTTCCTTGGTGGATGAGAATAATGATGCTCTACATTTTCATATTCTAATGTAAAATTCTGCTTCATCTCTGACAGATGAAGAAGTGAGAATGGTAGGAATTACATATCTACATAGACCGTTTGAATGATTTAGTATCAGCAGGAATTGGCAATCAACCGGTGATCTTTATTTCATGTTTTTACCTGTGGCTGAAATAAATATTGTATACCCATTTGAATAGAGAAAACTTGATTGTGTTGAGTACCACCCTGGTTCAGAAATGATAGGTAAGTGTGTGGTTTTCTGTACAAGCCACAATCACCTATTACTCTTAGTAACATCTCAGAAGAGACTAATTTCTGTTTCTTTAAATGAACATCATATGTGTAGGTTACCACTGTTGTGTTTGTAAATGATAATGCTGAACAGCGTGGAAGCACACCCCACAAAGAGCTTGTTCAGCAGCAGAGATAGAAACAATGATTGTGTACATGGTTTTTATAACCCAATTGCATTTGTGCAGGATATGGAGCTAAATCTATTTCTATGCTACTAAGAAGCTACAAACTAAGAGAGAGGAACATTGTTTATACCCAAATCTACAAAAGAAAGCTAGAGAGGCAAGCAGTAGTCTTGTGTCTTTTGCAGATTTATCCATCTGCCTAAGGGCAAAGGTGTTTTCCTGATGAAGTAAAATGTATGTTTTGAGGTACTATGTGCTGCTGAACACCGTGCTTGCAAAAACTGGCATACTGGAGTCTTCCAAATCAGCAGTTTCCAGGGGGAAAATCCATCCACCATCTGCTTGCTTCATTAAAATACGTGACAGAGGAGGAAGAACTGATGTGCATTTTCACTGGCTCAGCGCTCCCTGGTGTCCACTCTGTGGAGGTTACACACAACCATATAGAAAACAGAATCCAGGTGAAAATCAACCCCAGTTCTTGTCTTTTGTATTTGTATAGAAATAAAGCAATGGGCTTTTTTTTTTTTAATATATTGTATTGATATTTTACAGAAAGGAAGGGAGAAGGGATAGAGAGCTAGAAACATTGATGAGAGAGAAACATCAACCAGCTGCCTCCTGCACACCCCCCCCCCTACCATGGATGTGCCCACAACCAAGGTACATTCCCTTGACCAGAATTGAACCTGGGACCTTTCAGTCCACAGACCGACGCTCTATCCACTGAGCCAAACTGGTTTCGGCTAAGCCAATATGTAATGCATATGAACTATTATTAATAAGATGGTTCACATTCTTTTCTCTGCACTAAACCCATCTAGGTCAGGCCTCGCCACCGTTCAAGTGCTCCATGGTCACATGGGCAGGCTGAAATGCTACCGAACAGCATAGCTTCAGACTAAGGCGAGTGACAGGCCCACTCCTGTGGGCTTTGTTATCCTCCTGTTTCAAAATACATTGTACCTCTTTCGACGAGTGTAAAACTGTGTCATAAACTTAAGTCAGAGAGCACTGTTTATTCAGATAAACATCACACCATTACCTTTTTTTTTTTAACAAGTTACCCATAAATTGTCTTACATTTACAGTTCAGTATAACCTTAACTCATGGTCCTATTTCTTGACATCATCAAAGTCCTGTTTTTCATGTTGACCAGAGCTTCGTCCTCCAGCTCTCTCTTCTGATCTGAGCTTCCCATGTCATCACCCAAGGGACAGATCTAAAAGGCCACTTTGGTCACCGCCCGCCAACCCAAAGGTGGAGAAAATAGAATGCCCTTCGTGATGAGACTCTCGCCTGGCGATGTCGTTTCATTTGCTTGCTCTCTTCCTTTTTATACTTTGCAGTTTGCAAACTCCATGAGTTTCCTGGGTACACGCCATGCTGTTCTGGCCTCCCCGCTTTGGGACATGCTGTTCTTTGCATCTGAAATGATTTTCCCCTTTCATCTGTCGGGGGAATTGCTGCTCAGCAGCCAAGCCTCAATTTTCAGCCCGGTTCTGTTGAATAAATTGGCCACACACTAGTTCCTGGAGGATGGGAATCCAGGAACTAATGATCGCGTTATCTGTGCTTTGTTGCCTTTGTGTCACTAGCATCTAGCACAGGGTCTGACGGTGAAATACATGTGATAGATTTGTTGATATAACCTAAATGTACGGTAACTTTCAACTCCACTGTAAATTACAAACAGGAAGAAATGTTTTAAGTCAATCCTCTATTTTATTACTACATTTCACTGAATTCTATTTTCACTGTTTGGATTGCCAATGGTAAAACACTGTCAGTGTTTTTACTTTATTTCGCTTGCAATACATTTCACTTCCCTGAACTACGGAGAGTGGAAGAGCTGATGGGAAAAGTCTCATTATTTCTGGAACACAAGCCACCAGATAGAAAAATAAATGTGAAAGGCGACAGGTCTCCAAATCCCACATTAGATTTTGGTGAGTTTTCCAGAAAAAAAAAAAAAGAAAAAAAAAAGTTAGGCCACACTTCCCAAAGAATAAAATGATCAGATTTTAATTAGATATTAAATATTAAAATGAAGCGTTCAACTTACTCCGCACAATTACCCGATTTGGATAGTTATATGAAACAAACAGAAATAAAAGCCTCCGATAACTTGCATCATCTTTCCCAGGATAGCACAATCATCTGCTATATAAACAGTTATAACCAGACATAACAAGCTCTTCCGTTTTAAGTGTTGGATACCAGAATGAGGCTATTTCTTAAGGCTTGTAAAAAGTCTAGCTTTATAGCTTCCCAGGAGAGCCAGACATCTCTTGAGAAGAAGTGAGCAATAAAAGGTAATCAAAACAATCTCTTCTTTCCTCTGGCAAACTCTGGAACCAATATAAATAGATCCTTAGGAACATCCTTTAACCTGGGAACCCCATTCGTAACAGACGGGGGTGGGAGTGGCAATCCCCCTTCCTGCGGCCCTCTTGGCCTGGGGAAATAGAAGCCAGCTGGGCCTAGTGATGAAGGAAACAGCAGTGAAGGAGAAAATGTGGGTGCAAGATCAGACAGAGTTGGGACGAAAAGAGCGGCTGGCTGGTTGATAGCACCCCTCAATTCAATTCTATTTTGTCCGCACTGTCCCCTGAACTTCTGGGATTTCTTTGTGTTTTTTGTTTGTTTGTCTTGTTAATCCTCACCCTATCATATTTTTTCCATTGATTTTCAGAGAGAGTGTAGGAAGGGTAGGAGGGAAAGAGAGAGAGGGAAACATTGATGAGAGAGAGGCCCATTAAATTGGTTACCTCTCGCACGTGCCTGGATCAGAGCTAGGGATTGAACCTGCAACCCAGGTACATGCCATTGACCAGGAATCAACCCTGTGATCTTTGGTGTGGGGGAGGGGGGGGGGGGGGGGGGGGGGGAGACAGATGCTCTAACCACTGAACACACCAGCCAGTGCTGAACTTCTGTTTCTTACCACTTCCTGTTTCTATGAAGGCTTTTTATTGTTCCAGGCCTATTGAAACCCATGCTTTCATGATCTAACAAACAGCACAGTAGGGATGAACATTTCTTTTAGACAATGGCTTTTCACTTCACGGAAAGTTCTCATCATTCACGGAAACTGATCACATTCCCTTTTTGGCTTTCCTGCCCCTGACCTAGGGCTTCCGCTCTGCAAAGGGGCAGGATCCGAAGCACACGGTGTGTTCCAAGCTGTGAACTCCTCTCTTAGTCCTAGTCAGTGTTTGGATGCCAAATCCTGTTTACAAAGCACCTGGGTCAACCCTTGGTCTGCCAGGGATCTTCTCTATTTCTAAAATTAGTCTTCAAACTATAAGGCTTTGCTCTTTTAAGCAAACTCTCCATTATGTAGAAAGGGTTTGGGAGCGGAAGTATACACACAGGATCCCACAACACTGCCCTTCCTTGGTTCTGGTTCTGAAATCCCCTGTTGAGTCCCTCCGTGGCTCAGTGCTGAGGGCACTCGAGTGTCATTAATGTGACAGTAAACAGACCGTCTGGCCAGCTGCATCAGCAAACCCTCCCTTCACAACTTCATGGGGACAGGTTTATTTTAACAGTTGGGCTTGGATTTTTCCACAGCTATTAATATCACTCAGCCCAGGTCCAGTGGCATGGATGCCTTCGGATACACTTCATTCCTGGCTCATCCACGGATCCCAGACATCAGCTTCGATTATGAATTCCACCTGAAGTTTCAGCTGCCAAACAACCACTCGGCACTGCAAAAAAAAAAAAAAAAAAAAAAAAAAAAAAAAATGTCATCTTCTTCACCGGACAGAAGGCCCTGGTAAGATTAATTGAACCCTCCAGGACCTGCTTAGCTCCTTTAAGAAAACTTTGGAGATTTTTCGTGGAAAACTCTAATTGGCTGCGGATAAAGGAGACATTTGCTTAGATGCAGCCTCCTCCTGTTTTCTGCTTCCAGCAAGTTCCTTGCAGCCCCAGGTGTTCAGCAGTTCCCTGACCTTCTCTGTAACCTCGCTCACACCAGGGCTACCTGTGATGATCAAGGGCAAGAATCCCCGCAGGCAAACAGGAGGGCTGGGAAGGTGACCCAGTCAGGTGAGACGTGAGCTTACTGCCTGGTCCTTCCCTCTGACTGTGTCACATGTAAGGAGAGAAGGGAACGTCTCCATAGCAACAGCATTTGACCGTGTGTTGGGAAATGAGAATTGTTGCCCTCAAAGAAAGTTATTTTAAATCAAAGGGCTGGCGTGCCTCCATGGTTGAGGGTCGACCTGTGGACCAAGAGGTCACGGTTCAGTTCCCGGTCAGGGCACACGCCCAGGTTGCGGGCTTGATCCCCAGTGTGGGGCGTGCACCAGGCAACTGATCAGTGATTCTCTCTCATCACTGGTGCTTCTATCTCTCCCTCCCTCTCTCTTCCTCTCTGATATGAATAAAAATATATTTTTTTTAGATGAAGAAAGTTTTCAGTCTGTACCAAAGTACACCAGTGCCCTAGAATTGGTGGGAAATAACCTCACAAGTTAAATTTGTCTGTCTTAAGTAGAAAGCAGTTATGCACCTGTGAAGGTCAAGGAAAAGCACATCCGTTTTACTCCCAAGTAAACAACTAACTAGTTAGGCAATTAATCACTCACCTTCCCTGAGCTCAGTGTCCTCAGCTGTGAAATGAACGCATGCACAGGAGAGAGACCTTTCTGCCACCCACCCACCAACCGGCAGTGCTATGGTGCTGGGGGCAATAGCATTCTGTTCTTTCCAATGCCCTCAGGGACTCTCCCCTTCCTGCAATTGGTTTCCATAGTAACACCCACTGGAAAGGAGCCTGCCCCTGGGGAAGCATAATGGGCCGGCCCCCACCTCCTCCACTGGATGGGGGCACGTGATCATGGGAGGTGCTATTCATTCTACCTCCAAAATCTGTTCCGGTGTCTTCCCCATCTCTGTTGCCAAAATCTTGTGACCTCTTCCTAACTGGCCTTCCTATGTCCTTTCCTGCCTGCAATCCATTCTCCAAGTTGCAGCAAGAATTACCTTGTTAGAAGGCATCTCATCACCTGAGAAGCCGGCTTAAAACCTGCCCGACTTTCCACTGTGCTCAGAATGGAATCCAAACCTTCTTACCTTGTTCTTGAAGGGCCTCACCTCAACTCTAACTCCCCCAGGCGCTCCCACTATCTCCGGGCCGTTCCCCACAGGTCTTTCCCAATGCCTTAGTCTCCTGGCACTTTTTCCTGCCTCGGGGACTTAGTGCATGCTCCTCCCTCTGCCTGGATAGGGAATGGCCATCAGGGTGTTCATGAGAGCGGGTTCTGGGGCCTGGCAGTGTAGACTTACCGTATTTTTCGGACCATAAGACGCACTTTTTTCCCCCCAGAAGTGGGGGGGAAAAGTCCCTGCGTCTTATGGTCCAAATATAGCCTACACATATACTTTTAAAAAAAAGTTTTTTTACTTGCCCGGCTCTGTGTGGTCTCTGTGTGCTTGCCCGGCTCTAAAATGGTTCTAAATGCTGCTGTTTACTTTACAGGGTTGATTACATGTGTTTATGACTGTGATGTTGGGTTTTAATGCACATAAAATATTATAGGACACTATTTGTTTCAGAATCTTTTTTTCTTCATTTCCCTTCTCTAAAAACTGGTGCGTCTTATGGTCCGGTGCGTCTTATGGTCCGAAAAATACGGTAAATCCAGTTTCCACCACTTACCAATTAGGTGTTGTGACTTAATGTCTCTGTGCCCCGGTTTCCTCACCTGTCACATGGGCATACTAATGGTACGTTCCCTGGTAGAGTCGTGAGGATTAACATAGTTAGCACATGCAAAGCACTTAAAATAGCCTTGAACACAATAAACACAGTAGCTTGTATTTTCTTCAGGAGGCCTTCCCAGACACCTTCACAAAAGTAGGTCTGATCCTACCCCACCAAGTTATTCTCTCCCTCACCTTCCTACTTATTTCCTGCAAGCCCTTACCTCAATGTACAATTCCTTTACCTATTTCAGGTAGTTGTTTCTTGTCTGTCACTAACTATCAGAGAGTCGGAGCTCCTTGCGGACACAGACCAAGCGGTCCCCATTTGACTTTGTATGCCCACACTTAGCGCACTGCCTGACGCATACTGAATGAATCAGTACTGAATGAATGGATAAGAGAACCACAGTAAGTTCAGATAATTGTTTCAAAAGAATTTCACAGAACAGACAATGGTATGGTCTGTAAATAGGCAACACGGTTGGACAAAGGTACGTACTTAAGAAGTAGCCTTTATTAGGGGCTCCAGGTCAGGTGCCATCCTCTCCATTAGGATGTCCCTGCAGGCTACCCTGCCCCATCTCCTTTGGGCACTGATAGCCTGCCCAGCACGTAGGGCTTGGACCCTCTCCGCCAGGCCGTGGTTGGCTAGATAGTTCTCTCTTATGGGAATGGTGTTCCACTTATCACCATACCAGTCACAGAGCTTCCCCCCCGGGGGGGGGGGGGGGGTGTTTAGTCTGTAGAATGGCTGCCAGAAGTCACGGAGGGAGGAGGCGAGAAAGAAGTAATTCCTACCCCTCACTCTTTAATCCTCACACACTTCAGCATGTTAATCAATTATATCCTTTTCATTACACACACACAAAAAAATGTAGCAAATAAAAAATTCAAAGGAGCATTACACACCCTGAGCCCTTCTTATTTTAAAACGTATCTTCTGAATCCTGAACGATTCCCAGAGGGAGAACTCAAGCAAAGCATCAACACTTGGTCCATGAAAATACTGCACCAAATAACTCTTCAGTACTCTTCTACTAAACACTTCCAAAATTCTTAAATAATAAATAAAATAAAACAATAGCTAATGTTTTGGCCACAGTTTTTCTAAATTGTGGAATGTCACATATAACATTTTCTGGGTTTCTCTACTCATCTTATTTGGATGGAGAGGAATGCTAATTCTGCACTTGGCATTTGTCGGTTGGCAGCATGGCTACCTAAAAGCAGATGAACTGGTAGATAAGTTGTGGAGCTCTAGTTTCTAATCAGTGACAGGAACTCTGAAACATGCAATTCCAAATTATACCACCTGAGGGAGCAAGAACACCAGCTAAAAAATGCAAGTAGCACTAAACTGATTTTTAAGGCAATGCTTCTCCAAGTAAGATCACATCACTTCATGTCTGTATCAGAGTCACATGAGGGTGTTTGTTGAAAGGCTAATTCCCGGGCCCTCTTGAATTAAATAATAGACTGTTATCAAGCACCTTTGGCACTTTTTACACAACTAATATTTGAGAGCACCCTCTGAAAACCTTTAAGGACCATCTAAATTAGACCATGTGTGGGGATGGTCATTGACCGTAATGTAATATGTAGGAATGACTTGTCCACTTGTGTGTCACAAAGTTATTCATTCAAGAGATACATGTTTCTCTAAAATATTTAATGATTAATATTAACCACACAATTTGAAAATTATCTATTCTACATAAAAATCTATGATCCAAATCAGTTTGTTTTTCATGGTGGTATTAACTCCACATTTAGGTGTTATTCTTTCCTTTTTAATTTTTTTTTTGTTATTGTGAATTCTTACAGAAGGATATTCTTTCTATTGAATTTTTAGAGAGAGTGGAAAGAAGGGAGGGGGGGGGAGAGAGAAAAACATCAATGTGATAGAGTCACATTAATTGGTGGCCTCTCACACTCACCCTGACAAGGTCTGGGGATGAACTGCAACCCAGGTATGTGCCTTTGACCAGGAACTGAAATCACCACACTTTGGTGCACAAGTGGGTGCTCTAACCAGTGAGCAACTGGCCAAAGCTAGGTGTTAGTCTTTTTTTTTCTTTTTCTTTTTCTTTTTTTTTTTTTTTTTTTTAGTTGTTATTCTTGTTTAGTAGCCTCAATCTCTGATCTGAATACTGGTTGTTACTATTAAAATTACCATTCCATATACTGCCTTTATCTTCCTTAGGTTATAGATTCACAAAGCCACCGAGTTTCTATAATAACTTGAAATGTAAGCCAACCTCTAATTCTGACATGTCTGCATAAGAAGGCAAGGGACCTTCATACCCCAGCACTGATTATACTCTTTCCTGAGCCTCCCTAAGCTGCCCACCAATTTTTCCATACTTTGTTCTCATTGAACTCTCTGGACAAATTACCCTTTCAAACATTTCAGCTTGAAAATGTCTCTCTTGACGTGTGATTTTTAACCTCCCCTAACCTAATCCTCTTCCTGTGCTCCTGCAGTCATATTTGGCATTTCCTTTTCATCATCTCTTTTTCCTTTTCTACCCACACCCTTATATTGTATGTCCTGTGGCTTATTCTTCTGGAAATCGCCTGCATGTCCAGCAGTTCACAGATGAATACGGACGTTAGTGTCCTCTCCATGTCCCTCCTTTGGGACTGGCATAAGACTCTGCTCCAGCTAGAAGCCCAGGAGGCCCCTGGATATTCATCTCCCTTTCTCTCATTTGACAACTGCTTCCTGGGAACCTAGATGAGACATACTTCAAGGTGGTGGAGAGACAGTTATGAACAAGATAGGCAAGGTCCTTGTCTTCTCTCCATGTTATCCCCCATGTTCTACCAAATGCCATTGCCTATGCATTTTACCTAACTGTTACTTTTTTTTAACTTCTCTATCTTCTTTCTTCTTCTCATTACCCCCAGCTTCTCTGCAATAGCCTCCATTCCAATTCCTCTGCCCAGTCATATTCCTCTTCCCCTCTACTCTCCACTTTGCTCCAGGGAACCTAACATATAAGTTCAAACATGCTTGATCATTACCTATCTTTTGCATAATTACACAGAGGTTCACCCATTCCCTTTGTACAATCTGTGTTTCCTTTGATCCAGTCTCCGCTCAGCAGGATTCGTGCATGTGTGCGTTTGGGGTCGTGTGGCTATGTCCTTGCTTCTGTGCTTTTGCACAGGCTGTTCCATCCTCCTGAGCTAGGCACCCTTCACTTGTGCCTCCAAAACACTTCTGTCCCGTAAGCCTCTGCTGGAAAGATCATTCTTCTTTGACGTCTTTAACTTCCAAGAACATTTAAGACTTAATTTCACTGCAGTTGGCTGGTAACAATTACAATGTTTTACTATAACTATTTGGACCTCTTTCAGAATTGTACCATGGCTTTTCTTTCTTATATCAATAGTGGCTGCCACATATAAGCACTCATTACAGTTTTTGAAAGATGTAATACCAAAACAAACAAAAACAAAAACAAAAACTATGGTCCCCATCGCACTAAAACTTACAATCAATTTAGGGAGGCACAACACATCTGCTTAAATTTTTCTTAATTAACAATCCTCACCCAGAAGTCAGAGACCCTGTCTGGTACTCACAGCACCTGTCAGAGTGTCTAATGCATGACCAGAGGCATCGCTGAAAGAGAAGAGGTGCATAAGTGATGAAAAAGATGACTTTCCGAAAGTAGAAACCCCATCCAGCGAGGACAGCCGGGAACTTTGTTCCCTTTTGTGTATTTCTCGTCCTTCCCTTCCATTAGAACCTCTACAGGAAGTGCCACCGCAGCCTGGCTGCATTTCCAGTTCCATTCTCCCCCAGTCTGGGCCCAGTGAATCCCCAGCCAGCAGCTATAACAGCCGGTTCATTCCACCCAAGACCCGTCACTCCCATTCCCTCCACCTTCACAGCTTCCTCCTGCCTGGAAGGCTGTTCCTGTTCATCACCTCTTCCAAACTACCCATCATGCAACATTTCCTAATGAATCACTGTCTCCTTATAGCTAATCTACACAAAGCCTGTGTAGAACTTTCAATTTGCATGCCATAAGTTGATATCTAATTGTGTGCTGTTTTGTCATCCACAATCCCTACTTTCAATCATATGTAGTCACCATTGTCATAGTCAGAAACATTAGAATAACAATTTCATCATTTTAATCTTGTACCTCAGCAAGATTAATCTTAAATTCTGTTTGAACAAGCCTGGCCTCATGACTTCAGTTTTCTTTTGTATCCGTAACTGTATCATTCACATGGCCCATACCGAGTGAGAAATCAATAATTACTTGCTTATTGATTCTTCCACCAACAGAAAGACTCTGTAGATAAGCTATCCTGGTAGCTAATAATACTGTGTAGACATAGATTAATCTGGATTATAGTGAAGAAGTTAGGACCTAAATAAAGCAGGGAGGGGAGACATGTATCACTGTTTACATCACAAAATGTAAGTTACAATCTGAACATTAGCCCTGGCCAGCGTCACTCAGTGGTTAGAGCATTGGCCTGTGCACCAAAGGATGGTGGGTTTGATTCCTGGTCAAAGGCATGTACCTGTATTGCAGGTTCAATCCTTAGCCCCACTCAGGGTACTTTCAGGAGGCAACCAATAAATCTCTCTCTCTCTCTCTCTCTCTCTCTCTCTCTCTCTCTCTCCCTCCCTCTCCCTCTTCCTCTCCCTCTCCCTCTCCCTCTTTCCTCTCCTTCCACTTTCTCTAAAAATCAATGTAAAAAAATATCCTTAGTTGAGGATTAACAAAACAAGAAATCTGACAATAGCCTGTATTAAAAAGCTATAATGTCACAAAGGAATATTTTAGAAAAAAAACAAAAAAAACTGTAACATAATGATCTATGTGCCTAAGCCTTTTATGCATGTAGCTTCCTGTCAGTCACCAGCATGTAGGCCTTCTGTGCTGCGGTAATTAGGAAAGATCGCCTCGTATTTCATGCCAACTAAGTTCTTGTTTGCTTCAAGCCCTTAGTTATTCACTATGCTACAAATAAGACTGCATAAATATAGCTTGATGTTTTTCTGTGGAAATAAATGAAATGAATGTCATCCACAGAACGAAAAAAGAAAAATGACGGGAGGAGTGTCACAAAATCCAATTGGCTCAACCTGTGGTTTTTTTTTTTTTTTTTTTTTATAGAACTGTGGTATAAATCAGGCAGAAGGAAGATCCCTGATGAATGAGAGAGCAGGCTGCAGCCAATTCCTTCATATAAAACCTCTCCCAATTCCACAGGGCCGAGGCATTTTATAAACATAGCTGACAGTAGATGCTCACATTCAATTTTTTTTTACAACAGAAAAATGCTCATTATCTTCTCCTGTAATCACATCAGAATGGACTGGAAATTGTGAAAATTTCTTCCTAACAACCTCAAACTATCCAATCTTAGTTTTCGTGAAATTAAATATATTTGAGTTTAGTAAACTAATTCACTTTGCTAACTGAGAAATGTATAAGATTATCATATTTGACCAGTGCTCAAACAGGGTTAAAAATGACAAAAATATGTAAATTCTCACACAATCCCCTTTTACTACCACCCCCTTTTAATGGACACGAAGAGTGAATGTTCATTTAAGCATAGTTCAGTGGGGTTAACTGGGTGTCATGGAAGAACATCCAGAGGGCAGGAAAAAGACAAGAGCCAAGTACAGATCAATAAACTACAGCCCACATTTGCACTGTTTTTTTCTACACTTCCAGGAAGCACATATGGTTCCATCTTATGGAAATTCAAGTTTACCCATAAACTAGTACTTACATTCCTTGTTTTCATGGTCTTATCTCAGACAGCAGACAGCAAGAGAAAAACAGACTTTCTACTTTTTCTTGTTTCAGATACTTTTGTTCAAGAAACAGAAAAGGGTGGGCCCTCTATAGCCACAGGAAATGCATTTTGTCCCATTTCCATGTGCTCTGAGCACAGCAAGGCATATGCGTAATATTACTGTCACCCTGGACCCACAGTCTGCACCAGCATAGCTGGAAGTCGGGGCATGGTCTTGATTTGGCTACATAGTCAATGATAAAAGAAAATCACTAATTAGCTGCTTCCTATAATGTCCCTTACTGAGGACTAAATTTGCAAATCTGGCATGGAATTGCAGCAGCCAGTTTACATTGCCCACATTTTAATTGAATAATTGAATCCCTTGAAGTAGGCACTACATGGTCTCCACTATACACAGTGACAAATGAAGACACATCGTGGACATGGCTGTGTACGGTTCTGATGCTTTCAAAGCTCTGGACTATCCATAGTTTAACAGTTCCATCAACATTACAGGAAGCTGAGTACCGGTCACTGTGATTAGAAGCCATACAGATCTTAGAATCAACAGACTGTATGCTCCTTAAGAGTTCATCGAAAAATCTCCAGTCATCTTAGTTTTAGTTGAGTACCCACTAAAGCAGAGACTGTCACAGATTGTCACTGACTATGGAGTAAAAATGTCTAGAATCCTATACCACTCAATATGTACTGCTCTGGTAGGTGAGATTTCATTCAACCTAGATATACACTGAGTGGCCAGATTATTATGATCTCTGAATGTGTAATAATCTGGCCACTCGGTGTGTGTGTGTGTGTGTGTGTGTGTGTGTGTGTGTGTGTGTATATATATATATATGTATATATATATATATATATATATATATATATATATATATATATATATATGAGGCCCAGTGTATGAGTTTATGCATGGGTGGGGTCCAGCCAGCCTGGCCAAGGAAGAGGACATGGGCAGTTGGCCAGCCTGCCTGCTGGTCGAACTCCTAGTTGCATATTTTGTATATTAGCCTTTTATTATATAGGATATACACTGAGTGGCCAGATTATTATGCATTCAGAGATCATAATAATCTGGCCACTCAGTGTATTTTTCCTTTGCACCCCTTTATCTTTGATTCAAATTCCATAAATGTCTTCCATTATTTTTCTAAAATCATTCACACTTATCTAACTCTTCATTCATATTGCCTTAACTTTTTTTCTAAACTCTGAATATACCCTCTCATAGCCATGAGCAGTCAACTAAAACTCATCTTAGTTTATGTTAGTGTCTCCGTGTCAGCATCCTTATACCACAAAGTCAAGAATATTTGATAAAATGGTAGTTTCTGTCTTTGGGAAATCTAAAAGTGTTACAGATGTAGAACCATACTCAAAAATTCCCACGACGCGAGTCTGCACAAATAATGGTTCTTTCAGAAGGTAGATCCCTCTGAGAGTCAGGAGCCACTCAGCAAGCAGATTCACGAGATGGAAAAGTCAGAGCATCATCTCATGGCTCCTCACCCGCCTTTTTGTTCACTAAGGATGGAGAGGAGGAGGGGAGCGGCAAGACCCACTTGCCACTTAGAGTTTCTGAATCCATTTGAAAAGATCTTTTAAAACAGTAATTTATTGCTAGAGACAATCCTAGGAAGTGTTATTATTTTCATTACCATATTTTCAAAAGAAATAAATAAGAGGATGTGAGTGGCCAGAAATTACATTAGCACAAAGGCCAAGATTAAACACATATCTTTGTAGTATCTGGGACTCTGCTTACCTCTGTTGCAAGTCTATCATCATTTTTAGAGGGCTAAACTAGAGGGCATGACATTATTTTACCATATTGGGAGAATAGTTTGAAGAAATAAAAAGTTACATTCACTCTTTCTCTACTAAAAAATTGAAATTTTATTCTATATTAAATACTTCAGAAAGTTTAATTTTTCTTTCTATTGGAGTTAAAAGATTGTTGGATCAGGAGGATGAGAGCTATCAGATTTCTCTCCTGATAAAGTCACAATATAACCTTTAACTAGAGGCTGCTGAAATACACCTGGATTTCATAGTGCTGCCTATATAAGTTTTATTTTTTTCTTATTTTTTATTTTTTTAAAAATTTTCAATTATAGTTTAAATTCAAATTGTCAGGTATTAGTTTCAGATGTACAGCAAAGTGGTTAGAAAATTATGTGCTTTGCAGAGTTATGTAAATGTTTTAGACTCCCAAAAGGCTCCCTCAGAACAATCCAAGGAACGGCCCGAACCAAATGGTGCTGAGCCCTCAGGCAGGCTCCTGAGAGTGAGCTTCGGCCTCTTCCCAGCTCGTAGTCCCAATTTCTGAGGGGTCCTTCCACACAGAGCAAGTGAGGCACCACATGTGCGGCTCCATGGTTTAAACACACAGTGACTGACTAGAATCAGTGGGAAGAACAGAAATTCCCTCCAATGCGCGGGCTTGAGTTAATTCTTCTGTTCTTGAGTCTTATTCTTCCTTTTTTGATCTTCATTAGGAATCCATGGCTCAATGCTCTAGCTACTCTTCTTCAGGTCTCCCTTCAAATTAATGCTAATTACTAATACTTGATTTGAATTTTGTTTTGGGGAGTTGTTTTTTTTTGTTTGTTTGTTTGTTTTTTCAGAACTCCATTACAATTACCATGAGATGGCAAGGTTACTCACAGTTCTGTCTCTCTTTTCTCTTTGTTTCCCTCTTTTTTCTCCAGATAAAACTCACCTATGTGATTTCTCCTGGGCTTACTATCTGACACCTTTGATACCCTTCCTCACTCCTATATAACCAATTTCCTCTTCTTGGCCATACTTTCCAACTAAAATCTAAATCAGAGACAATACTGACAAGGTCCAGCCAGGATAGAGAACCACTGATATAAATAGTAAAACCTTGCCAGGCCAGCTTGATTCAGTGGTGCGTCTCAACCTATGAACTAGGAGGTCACAGTTTGTTTGTTTTTTTGTTTTGTTTTTATTATTTATTTATTTATTTATTTATTTTAATATATTTTTTTTTTTTGCCCCCCTCCCTCCCTCCCACACATCCCCTCCCTCCCTGGAGTTTTGTGTCCATTGGTTGTACTTATATGCATGTATCAATATATAAGTCCTTCGGTTGATCTATTATCTCCCCTAGATCTTCCTCCCCTCCCCGCTGTAATTTGACAGCCTACTTGTTGATATACTGTCTCTATATCTATCTTTTGGTTCATCAGTTTATAATGCTCTTTATTATCCACAAATGAGTGAGGTCATGTGGTGTTTCTCTTTCATTGATTGGCTTATTTCACTCAGGAGGTCACAGTTTGATTCCCAGTCAGGTCACAGGCCCAGGTTGCAAGCTCAATCCCCAGTGTGGGGCATGCAGGAGGCAACTGATGAATAATGATTCTCTCTAATCATGGGTGTTTCTATATCTTTCTCCCTCTCCCTTCCTCTCTGAAATCAATAATAATATATATTTTTAATACTAAAACCTTGTCAAAACCGGTTTGGCTCAGTGGATAAAACGTCGGCTTATGGATTGAAAGGTCCCAGGTTTGATTCCGGTTAAGGGCATATACCTTGGTTGCGGGCACATCCCTAGTAGGGGGTGTACAGGAGGCAGCTGATTGATGTTTTTCTCTCATTGATGTTTCTAACTTTCTATACCTCTCCCATCCCCTCTGTAAAAAAAAAAAAAAAAAAAAAAAAAAAAAAAAAAAATCAATAAAATATATATATATTTTTTTTTTTAAATACTAAAACCTTGCCGAAACCGGTTTGGCTCAGTGGTAGAGCATTGGTCTGCAGACTGAAAGGTCCCAGGTTTGATTCCGGTCAAGGGCATGTACATTGGTTGTGGGCACGTCCCCGGTGGAGGGTGTGCAAGAGGCAGCTGGTTGATGTTTCTCTCTCATCGACGTTTCTAGCTCTCTATCTCTCTCTCTTCCTCTCTGTAAAAAATCAATAAAATAGCCGAAACTGGTTTGGCTCAGTGGTAGAGCGTCGGTCTGCGGACTGAAGGGTCACAGGTTCGATTCCGGTCAGGGGCATGTATGTTGGTTGCGGGCGCGTCCCCGGTAGGGGGTGTGCAAGAGGCGGCTGGTCGGTGTTTCTCTCTCATCGACGTTTCTAGCTCTCTATCTCTCTCCCTTCCTCTCTGTAAAAAATCAATAAAATATATTTTTTAAAATCAATAAAATATATTAAAAACAATAAAACCTTTAGGCTTAAAAACAAACTATAAGCAAGCAATCCAGTAAATACTTCTAAGTAATTTAGGGAACAAAATGCCATAAACTTAACAATTATTACCTGCTTGTGATGCAAGCATTTAATTTTATTATTTTTCTCCAAAGTTTTTATGTATTTTGGACCTATTACCATCACCACCACCCACCCCTACTGCATCAGACAATTCTTTTTTTTTTTAATATATTTTATTGATTTTGTACAGAGAGGAAGGGAGAGAGATAGAGAGCTAGAAACATCGATGAGAGAGAGTCATCCATCAGCTGCCTATTGCATGCCCCCCACTGGGGATATGCCCACAACCAAGGTACATGCCCTTGACCGGAATCGAACCCAGGACCCTTCAGTCCACAGGCCGACGCTCTATCCACTGAGCCAAACTGGTTTCAGCTGCATCAGACAATTCTAAGAACCATCTGAAACAGCCTGGAATGGCCTGGTGACTCTCTAAGCCTTTTTCATCTTTCCGTCCAGAATATCCATGGCTACCAGTACATCTTCCACCTTGCTTATCATCACCGTTTTTTGTTTTGTTTTGTTTTTTTATCATTGTTACTATCACTACCATCCCTGTCTTCAGACTAAGTTCTTGTTTCATTGCTAAGCACTGTCCTCTGTTTGTGATGAGACCAGATGATATTCTGACCACTGCATCTTATCTCCCATGAGACGATTTCCTCTAACCAACATTATGAGTTGTTAAAATGCCAAGCATGGTTCACCACAACACACCACTTCAGAGCTCTCTGCCTAGCAGGAACTGTAGCATTCAGTTATGGCTTGTCTTTCTAGCCAAAGAGAGACCAAATTTGTTTGTTTGTTTGTTTGTTTTTCTGTACATTCTGAAAGAAATTTTACTCACTTGCTAGATCTCATTGCTCGTAACTTCTATTCATCTAAAGTCATTTCTTATTGTTTTCTTCCTCCCCTTTTATCGCTTGCACAACATAATTTTTCTAAACCCTTCCTTCTAGC